TTGTCTTGCAGGGGCCTGCAAGGGTTTTCCCACTTCTTGTGGCCAGCTGGGAAAACTCAGGGGCTCTCTCACTCAGATCTGGCCATCAGTGCTTACAGTGAGCATCGACACATCCATTTGGTCTCCCAGTGTGTACTGGGCCTCCTCACAACATTGTAGCTTAGCGCCAAGAAATGCCACTGGCAAAGAGTCTCATTTTTTGCAGTGTGTAGAGGCAGCCAGGAAGGTCTGCTCAAGTTCTGAGAGAAGAGAGAAAAGGCAGCATCTCTAGGGGCGGGCATGACGAAGCTGGAAGATCTTGAGTAATCTCCCATCCTTTGAACTCACCCTTATTTCATCCTGCTTTGTCAGCCAATTATTTTTCTTCCCCATACCCCTACTTCTCTTCCTCCTCCCCCTTTTCTTGAGACAAGAATCTCTTGTACCCAGGAATAGATTGATTCCACAGATTAATTTGAATAAAGCCTCCACTATTCGGTCTTTCTGGACTTTCTACATGCTACCCAGAACTTCTTGACTGATATGCTACCTACTCTCTGTCTAGCAGGAATACCGTTCTACCTTTAGTCTTCAAATTGTTTTAGCAGGAAATCTCTCGGGTTGGAGAGATGGCTCCGCAATAAAGAGCACTGACTGGGCTCAGTTCTGTGTTGGCTAGCTTTACGTCAACTTGACACTGGCTAGAGTCATTTGAGAAGAAAGCTCAAGTGAGAAAATGATCTATAAGATTAGCCTGAGGGTAAGCCTGTCTGGCATTTTCTACACTGATGAGTGAGGGATGTGGGAGGCCACAGCTCACAGAGGGTAGTGCCACAACTGGTCCTGGGTACTATAAAATAGCAGGCTGAAAAGAAAACCAGCCTACAAACCACAATCCCAGAGAACATAGACAACAATGTGGACACTAAGAGGTACTTAACAGATATAATCTACATGGGAAGTAGAAAGTAGAAAAAGATAAGATCTCCTGAGTAAATTGGGAGCATGAGGACCTTGGGGGATGATTGGAGGGAAGGAGGGGAGAGTCAGGGAGAGGAGCAGAGAAAAATGTAACTCTCAATAAATATCAATAAAAAAAATGTATAAAAAAAAAGACAGCAGGCTGAGAAAACCATGAGAACAAAGCTATTGAGAAGCATTCCTCCTCAAAGAGACCAGAAAGACTTCATCCAGCAACTGATGGGAGCAGCTGCAGAGTCAGACAGGCAAACAGTAGGGAGTCCTGCAGGGGAGAGGGAAGGATTGGAGGAACTAGAGACACCAAGAGGACACAGCCCACAGAATCAATTGAGCGGGACTCAAGGGGTCTCACAGAGATCAGAGAGCCTGCAAGGGGTCTGAGATAGGTTCTGTGCATGTTATATCTGAGTGGCTTGGTGTTCTTGTGGGACTCCTAACAGTATGAGCGGGGGTGGTCACTGACTCTTTTGCTGAATTATGAGACCCTTTTCCTCCTGCTGGGTTGTCTCATCCAGCCTAGATGTGATAGTATGTGCCTGGTCTTATAGCATATTATGTCACGCCTGGTGGCTGACCCTGGAAGGCCTGCTCTTTTCTGAGGTGAGACTGGAGGGAGGAAGGATCAGGGGGAGAGAGGAGGTGGGGAGCAAAAGTGAAGGGAAACTGTGGTCAAGATGGGATATATGAGAGACCCAAAAAAAAAAACAAAAAAAAATCCTCCTCCAGGACTTCTGCTTCAGTTTCTGCCTCCAGGTTCAGTTTTTGACTTCCTACAATGATGGACTATGATGTAGAACTGTAGGCTGAAATAAACCCCTTTCCTCTCAAGTTGATTTTGGTCATGGTGTTTATCAGCTGTAAAAAGTTCCCAGGCCCCACATGGTAGCTTACAGCCATCAATAACTCCAGTCCCAGGGTATCCAGCGCTTTCTTCAGACCCCTGCAGTGACCTGCTATGCACATGATACACATACATACATGCAATACATACACACAATAAAAACAAATATACATACACATGCATACATGCAATATATACACACAGGAAAGACAAATATACATACATGCAATACATACACATAGTAAAAACAAACATATATACACATGCATACATGCAATACATACATACAGGAAAGACAAACATATGCATAAAATAAAAAACAAATTTTAAAAAAAGCCCCTCTTGCCAGGCATGGTGGCACCTTCTTTAATCCCAGCACACAGGAGGCAGAGGCAGATCAGACCAGCCTGAGCGACAGACACATCCAGTTCCATGGCACCAAGGGTTATACAGGGAAGCACTGCCTTAAAAGGGAAAAAATTTTTTTGAAATTCACACACTGCTAGTTTAAGGACCAAAGCTTTCTAAAACAAAATAAAAACAATGCTATATGTACAAGAACCCAGAAGAATATTTCTTGATGAAATATCTTTTTACTCTTAAATTGCTGTTTCTTATGTTTTGATGTTCATTCAATATATCTGGCTTCATATGAATAAGAGAAGATAGTGAACAATACTAAAAAAAATCAGTAAAAGTTTTCTGAATTAACAGGTCTTGTAATTTAAAGAAATTGGTAGGTTTTATGCTTCATTTTATCAGATGTAAGCAAAAACATGATAGAGCCATTTAGGGGTTATTTGTATGTATTCTGTTGATTTTGTCCAAATTTCCCTCAAAACAAGCTTATTTTATGTAAAACGGACTCTCTGAGAAACTGAGATAAAAATTAAACATACCAGTACACCCAAGAGAAATTTACAGAAAGCTTTTGGATCTTCAAGACTAAAAAGCACTGATTCATAATCTGTGACTTCCTTCCTGGTCAACCCTCTTTTCCTTCCATTCTGTAAAAGCAATACTGTTTGTATCGCCATTTCAAGAACCTTAAAAGTGGAACTGGAGAATTCAAACTTAGTTCCCAGCCTGCACATCTGGCTGCTGCTGACAGCTATGTGCAGCTCTAGTTCCCAGTCTGCACATCTGGCTGCTGCTTAATTACCTGCGAGTCTAGTTCCAGAGGATCTGGAACTATGGCCTCTGCAGGCACCTGCACTCCCATTCTCTCTCTCTCTCTCTCTCTCTCTCTCTCTCTCTCTCTCTCTCTCTCTCTCTTTCTCTCTCTCTCTCTCTCTCCCATACATACACATAAATAAAACTACTCTTTTTTTTAAAGTACTAAAACTTCCAAGATAATATAGGCAAACTAGAAAAGTTAATTTCGGAATATATTCTAAAATAGGAAGAGGAAGTATATGGAAAATAGAGCAAAAACGATTCTTACAAGGTAGAAAATTTTATTTTACTAAGAATAATGTATCATTTCAAACAAAATTGAAATTCTCCCATGATTTTTGATATTTTAATTTACTAAGTACATAATTTAAGCTCTATTCCTCAGTGAACATTAAACAAGCATAATTATGGATAG